AGAGAGAATGTTTTGAAAAGGATGAAGTCAACATATGTACAAATGTGCTTGATATAATGGATATATGGGCTGTTATCAGAGCTGTAAGAGCCCCCAGTAAAATGATGTATTATAAGAAATTTCACTCCACCACAGGCAGGCTCTTTTATCTATGCCTCTAAGCAGCTCTGGTGGTGTCTTGATTATGCTTTGGCTGCTAATGGAAAGGTCCCAAGTTCAAAACCACTAGCTGCTCTGAGGGCAAAAGATGAGGCTTTTTAATCCTGTAAAGACTTACAGTCTTAGAAACCCACAGGGGCAGCTCTACCCGGTCCTGTAGACCTGCGTGCGATAAGTATGCTCCTTGTCTCTGCAACTCCCACGGAATGCTGGGGTGGCAATGTGCCAATGAGGTGTGTGTGTCCACCAACAGCAGGGGGTGGTCACTTTCCGTTAGTACACTCCCTGGGTATCAGGGTGAGCCGTCTTTGAAGCAGGAGCAGAAAGAAAGGCCAGGTCCCCCAGAAGAGCACGTGCCAGATCTGTCTGAAGTGGTGGAGGCTGAGACATAGATGGAGGTACGGAAACGATGGGACAGAAGAGAAACGATTGGGGCAGTGCTGAGGCTATGGGACTGTGAGACAGGGCCACAGGTGCACTTCTGGCCCAAGGAGGCAGGGGCCCAGGATCACAGGGCTGAGAGGCTGAGGACCAGAGGGAGACTTGATTGCTGGCTGAGGAGAGCTGTCGTGGACCAAGGACCGTATTCTTACGGATGAGGGGTCCTGACGTGTGGTAACCTGTTCACAGGGAAGCCAGAGGTCAGATCCGGCCACCTCCATGCTGTTTACTGCGGTGCCGTAGGGAGGAAGCCAGTTGGGAAGTGGGTGGCTGCCATATTGTACACCTGCTCTTACAGGGTGCCAGCCACCGAGTCTGTGTGCACGTGGATGGACTAGTACAGACTTGGCAGAAACCAGTGAGGATGAAACCTCAGTGTTCACCCCTCCGCCCCCTGGCTTGTACCCCTTTTTACTTTCGTCTGAGTAAAAAGCCCGTTTTCACTGCCCTCTGCTTCAGCCACACCAGCCTCCCTTCCATCCTACTCCCCCGTTCTGACCTCAGGGCCTTTGCCCATGCCCAGGATGGTCTTGCCCTGGGAATCTGCTCAGTAGCTCAACTCCTTTTCTGACTCCGCTGGTCCCGGAGACCTTCCTTGGCCACCCGAGTCCCTTCCCTTTCTCTCCATCAGTTCATCACGGTGTGGATTCCTACACACATTAGGTGTTGGACTACTAATCCAAAGGTCTTTGGTTCAAACCTACCTGTCACTCTGAGGGAGAAAGATGAGGCTGTCCGCTCCCCGTCATGTTTTAGTATTGGAAATCCTGTATGAGGTTTGCTATAAACTCAGTGCCATTGGGTCAATACTGATTCATGGCAACCCTACAGGACAGGGTAGAACTGCCCCTGTGGGCTTCTGAGACTGTGAACTCTTTATGGGAGCAGAAAGCCTAATTTTTCTCCCGTGGAGTGGCTGGTGGTTTCGAACCACCGTCCATGTGGATTGCAGGCCAGTATGTAACCACTATGCCACTAGGCTCCTAAGGGTTGCTATGTCAGAGTCTCCGATGGCACTGGGTTTCACTCTTCCTCAACTAGAACATCTGTTCTCGGCTACAGGTGGCATGCCAGTCGGCACAGAGTGGGTGCACAATCAAAGTTTATTTGCCTAGGTGAGAAACTGCTGCTGAGAAGGGCAGCTCGGGCCAGCTGACCCTGTGTCTGCTGGAGGGCAGGAAGCAGCCTCTTTAGTTGGAAGCCTGGGGACCTGGGTGACACCATGCTAGTGCCCTGAGGTACTGGTGGTGTCTAGAAGTAGGGGGCTGAGGCCAGGTGTGACTGGTCCCCTCAGCCTCATGCCCAGGCAGAGGTCACCAGCCGCTTTAAAAAAAATGATTTTATTGGGGGCTCGTATAACTCTCATCACAATCCGTAATTCCATCCATTGTGTCGAGCACATTTGTGCCATCATCATTCTCAAAACATTTTCTTTGTACCTGAGCCCTTGGTATCAGCTCATTTTCCCCTCCCCCACCCCTCTTCCCTCATGAACCCTTAATTAATGGATTGGG